ACGATACCACGCAGTGCATTATAATTGCAACGCGGATGATCAAGCATCATTGATTATGCGGCCGCGAAAGAATTTTTCTCCTTCACTTTCCTAACTTTCAATTATCCGACATGCATTTAAAAAAAACGCATTATAAGTATGCTCCGGCTTTCCGTTATTAATTTCGTGTCTTGCATAATCCGCGCACTTTCGTTTCTCGTGCGTTTCGCACGAGTTCTTCAGGTAACCAATCGGGTCGAAGTGGCAACAGATTCTCTTATGAATGCGTCGTCAAGATTACATCGCGTTTATGTCTCTCAATTTCACTGTCCACGTCCGGTTTTGGAAAGAACAAGTTGTAAATTTCTTCGCGTTTATTAGAATTACGCAAGTTGCATTGTTGCGGTAAACGATTGTTGGCAACCGAAATGATTCCACTATTCTCTATCCATTCTGTCAACAGTAAACCAATTTGGTTTACACATCTTGTGAACGCGTCTACAATTACGAAAGCTAAATTTGGAAACGTAAAAAAATGAATTAAAATGAATTAAGAAATCTTTCCTAGTTTTTTCCGTAAACAAATATAAAATCTGATACATCCACCATCTACGACTGGCTTTGCTCTTTAGTTCTCTGACGTGACATTGTGTTCTTTATGCATTTTTATGCTTCAAGTACAAAGTTAGTTTAATTTTTTAATAGACATTTTTACGTCTTTTTTTTTTTCTTGTGATATATAATCTTGTATGGAAAATACAAAAGCCATAATTGACCATGAATGTAAATATTCGACTTTACAAATCCGTCATCCTCCCAACCTTATTACTCTTTCAAATATCGGATCAGGAAGCGAGCTCGTTTAAACAAACTCGCGGTTAAATAATGAATTCATTGCGTGAATTCATAATCGTGTTTTCCCTGATTGCGGTTCACACTTTGTCGCGACATACGATCATAATAATTACATAATGATTGTACAATGTTGAACGCAATTTTGCATGCACCACGTTTCAATACGTTAACAACAAAATGGCCATTGCTTCATTAACTTGTTGTGCATAATTATCATTCATTGCGAATCGCATTGCAATCGACGCGTTGCATAATTGTCATTACCTCGTATTATTACGTCAAATCATTTAAACGTGCTATTATATTGTTGCATGTCAAACGGCGGTTTAAGGTGATTATATGTGGCCAATTGCAATCACATTACGATGCTTTTATGATTCCGGGCCGTATATATAATTCGCGCCGATAGAAAGCGCAAGAATTTTTCTTATTTAAGCCGTTGGCGATTTCCGTCTTGAAAAACTATCGCTCGTTTGTTTCTCCTCGTTTCGCTAATTCGGTCTACAAAAATTGATTATATCGGGCGTAATAATGTGCGCGAGAGATAATACGATCGATTGTGTTCGAATTTTACGAGGGTCACATACGCACTCGTTTCGCCTAGTGCATGTTTCGAGCGTTCAATTTCGCAATCGAGCGCTGCCCCATGATTGATCGATATATAACTAGACTCGTGTCATTTTTCGCAGTTCGGGTCGCGTGTACGTGTGTATAGATCTCCGTCTTACATATCCATTATCAAGCTTCTTAGCAGAGTAATTTATAAAGTACTAGACTCGCGTTTAACAATCAAAGTCACAGTAATTGATTGAAAAAAATCAATTTTTCTTGATAATTTATTGGCCATTGTTTAAGTATTTAGGCCAACTTTATGATATTTTATTAGCTATTAAGTGACACATAAATGCCTTTTTTTATTTTAATAAATATAAAATTGAGTTTTTATATATTTTTACTTGAATAAAGCGTGTTTGTGAAATATTAATATTATCTCACGATATCTCGTTAAAACATTAATCTTGCGAGCGTATCTACGTAGAATTAACTTGCGCACGATTGATCTTGAACACATAGATTACCTACAGATACGTTCTGCGGTGCATTGCGTATCTCTTGAATACAACTCATTCTCGAATCAAATCTTAATCGATGAGAGTTAGATCGACATTATCGCGGATTATCGTACGAGGATCTAACGCATGTTTCTCTAAATTCCCGGATCTTTTTTCTCTCCGCCTCTCGATCCGAGACGCGAAATGAAATATACGTGGCGGCGACGCGGCCTGGCTTCAATTTCCCGTTTGAAAATATCTCGGAATTCCAATCTAATCGGGACTACGATTTTCCTCTTAATTATACAGGGAGAGTCGCGGGGCGATCTGGTAGATCCGATCGATCGTGATCACTTGCTGCGCGCGAAGAAGGTCGAAGGTGCACCGTTCGAAGTGCCGAGAATGAGCGGGACTTCGAGCTTTCATATCGAAGATTTCCGAGACTGCAGGTGAATTAGAGAAATAATAGGCTTTCTCAGGATTCGACCACGGTTATTTCCGCGGTAACGGTTTCCGAGATGTCGGCTACCGGAATTGCAAAGAAGCTAGTAGTCCTTCTTTAATACAATTAACCACGGTGTATATATATATACGGTGCCACTCATCGACTCTGCTCATGTAAAACCTCGACTCTCTCATTCTCTTTCTTTCTCGGTGGCCGAGATATACGGCGCTTTGATCGATCTTTATCGCCTCTCGAAATTAACGGTCCAAAAAAAGCGAACTTAATACCGCCTATTTGATAATTCATAGCGCATGTTTTACAACCGTTGGGTTTATTATCTCGTAAGACGTTTCTATGACGTTACTATGTAATTATATATCACATAATCGGTAACGTTACAATTGTCTTAGGCACCCTACGAAGGAATTCGCCCGCGTGCCCCAGCGCAAATCTGCAAAGGCAAGTAAAAAAATAGTCTAAAAATTCCTGCTATCCAGAATAAGTCGCACAATAAACCTATTCAGAATACATCATACAATAAATAATGGAAATGTTGTACATTTCTATTATATGTAGTATGCAATTTTACGCTTATTGTTCATGTAATTCTATAAAATAACAATGTATCTACAAGTTATGTTTCTACGTTTTAATCGGTATGCCATAAAAAGTAATGATACAATACAAATCTTTGTTCCGAGTTGGGCCACTTGAGTCATATTGCGAACAACTGGTTCTGCGGGTAGAATTGATAATCTAGGATGAAGCTTTAGTTGGAGAAGGACAAAGCGATAATGCCGTTCTTGGTCTCGTAAATCATGTACCACGGTCGACAGTCGCAATTAACTAGTGAGATACCACGATACCGAGGATCTTCATTTTATCCCGCTAGAATTCTTCGCGTTCAGAAAATACAGAAAGAGACGTACGCATCAATTGCTTGTATTTGTGTGCGTGAATCGTGTATAGTGTAGATTTTTATCGAAATTGATTACAACAAAGATGGACATCCCTCTCATTCTACTTTCACGTGAAAATTTCCATCTGACATGAGGCCAACAATAATGCATCGCACTTTGTCTACGAATATAAGGGGTCGTATAATATCCAGGCACTTAACACGCATCTAATATTTTCCAATATAATACTCCCACGCGACGTAACATATGCACATCCCTTAGGGTGAACTTAATTCGTCAGTGTCGATGGCAGACGAGCGTTTCATATCGAATCATCGCGTTTCCATGCTGCGCCACAAAAGTTTACGCCACTCATGGTAATCGCATGCTATTTGTTCACGAATGGACATGGCGTGTTATAAGAGGAAGTTGTCTTTATTCTCTCTATGTGATTCTTTTATTAATTTCATTTGGTATTTTATTATCTAATTGCAAAAAATTACCATCCTAATAATAATTATGAAAAAATTGTAGTCCTAAATCGAAGAGGGTGTGCGTCATGATGTAACGCACATATCAAGCGCACACGTCGATGTGATATAAATTAATTACCGGATTGTTCATGCTCGAGGGAGCAGACCCCGGCGGCCCCGAGTCAAACAATCACTTTGCGTGAAAGTATGAAAAAAATTCCGCGGCGGACGGTGTATGCTCGAGCGTGTCTTACGCTACGCGCGTACCCGGAATCTGATCGTAAGAGCTCTCGGAATATCGAGGCATCCGCAAAGATTGTTGTATCATAGACTCACCTATTTCAAATTCTAGCACGACGGCTTCTTACTAGTGTACAATTATTTTATATTGTTTTACTTTACTATAATTATTTTGCTTAATTAGCAAAATGGAGTTGAACAGTCGACGGGAGAGTAAAAAGTTTCCACAATCTGTTTGTATAATATTATATGATAGCCGAATATTTTTTGTTCATTAGGAATCGTCTGTTCGATACCGGTTAATAATTTATTGCTTTCAATATACTAGTATTTCACGCGCGTAATTGATAGTCCTTATACGGGACGCAGATTATTGATATCTTTCAGTATACTTATTAATTGCAGTTCGATCAGTATATCATGTGTTTAATATTATCTGCTATTTCTCTAAGCGCGTCTGCAGATATATGTATTGTAAATACGTATATGTGAGAAGAAAACAATTTTCCGTTTATCATGAAAATATCTACATAAACGTTAAATGTTGCATTGCATTCGTTCTACATGCTTGTTCGAATATTTTTAAGTTTGATATTTTATGCAAATTTATTTGATTCATCAATTACGCCTCTCAAGCATCAAGAGCAGTTTATCAACTTTTTAAAATAAAATCTATATTGTATCTGCTCGTGCTCGGAGCTCTTGCAAAGCGAATAGAATATATATTTTATACTAAAAATCTGTAACTTGGAAAGGTAGAGTATTATGCTTTTTTGGATAATATTATATATATATATATATATATATATATATATATATATATATATATAATACTCTACCTTTCCAAGTTACAGATTTTTAGTATAAAATATATATTCTATTCGCTTTGCAAGAGCTCCGAGCACGAGCAGATACAATATAGATTTTATTTTAAAAAGTTGATAATATATATATATATATATACATACTTATAAAATATTGTGCATTATATACATACTTATAAAATACAAAAATGCTAGAAAGATAAATATATTTTCCCATGTGTTTCCAAACATTTTTAATTTATGATATTTTCATTGACCATTATACGTACTGCAGTAAAGTAAGAACAGGATGTATATAAAAACTGCAATGAAAATTTTTTTATTATTTTTAGCTATAATTATAATTAGATAATTTTTTTTTCTTTTTATATAATAAAATGCAAAAATTTTATTAGTGAAACTGTAGATATATACATATATATATAATATGCTCATAAAAGATTAGAGTACCAGATTAATAAAGCGTATTAGGGAAACTAAGGCAAAACTTCAATAAAAAACATAAAAACATGCAATGTATGATCTTTACCCTTGCGTAATAACGTAATGACAAAGCTGGAAGAATGCCATTAATCCGAACAACTTCAGGTTTCTGTGACCTGAAAATAATTTGATGGATCTTTTTTTGCATGCTTACACTTCCTTGATACCATTTCGACTCATATGCTCCAAGGCAAATTTTGCTACTCTATAAGGAGAAGTAAATTATTATCGCAGTTCTTGTCTAAAACAAATTTTAATTGATCCAATTTTTAATCAAATAACATTACCATATGCATTAAATGATCAGCTGGAAAAGCGCAGATAAAGAGTTCCAAGCTGGCACTAAATACTACGATGGAATATTGGATCTTGACCATTATTGGTTGCTCCTATTTATTAAAAATAAGTCCCACACACACATCTTTTCTTGGAATTCAATATAATATGAATATTTAAAGATATTTTTATAGTTAATCAGAAGATCTGATGTTTTTTCGTCACAACTGATTATCCATACACACATACACAAATAAAATAACTCACGTGATGCTTACAGTGACCATATTTAAACTTCCAAAAACAACACCCATAGCTGTCGTTGCTATCGTAGTCAAAATCAAAGGCCTCACAACGGTAATCATTTTGCTAGTGTACCTGAAAAATGCGGATATTTAATTAAAAAGTAGTATTTAGCATGGAGTAAAAGCTATTCCTCTATTTTGTTTTTTGTTTATTTTCCTCGTTGTTCTGAATTAATTGTCATTTTTTAATCCAAAAAAATTTTTTTTACGTTTTCTATTTTATATTTATGGTGTGAGCATCTACTTATGTTTAAAATAAGAAAGAATATACATTTCATACTGCGCATGTACAAGAATAGAGGGGAAATGGTAGTGAAGAGAGATTTTAGAGTAGGGGAAGTTTGATCCTGGCGATTTTAGAATAGAGGAGTTCTATTTTATAATATTACAATTATAGAAGTCATGCTAAATAAACGCGTTTTAGTAATAATTTAAGTTTAATTTTATTTAAAATAAAATATAGCTACAATACTTTTTTATTTCTACATTTCAGATTATTTTACATATTTTATCAATTTGCATAGAAAAGACTCAGATTGATAATAATTCACGTTCATAAAAACATTAATAAGAGTCAAAGACGCAGTAAAAGTGCGCAGTTAAATTAAGTGTTTCAGGGATCAATTTGAGACTTTCCTATTTAATGTAAACATTTCTGGTTTATTAATTAGACTTCGAAAAATGTTACGTCTAATTTCAAATATTTTGTAAATATCTTTAAGCAATTTTTCGCATAAAAATTTAATTTATTATTATAAACAACTATATTTGAATCTTTATTTTTGTTGAATTTATGCTGGTTGAAAGAAGATGTTATAACAATATCTACAAAAAAAACGCTTCAACTAATATATTTATATGTATATAGTGTTGACGAGGATTATTGTTTGAAATCTGAATGGTTCAGTAATAAGAACAGTTTTTCTTTCAAACAACAGAAAAGTCGGATATAATTCCCGTTTTAATTACTCACACCTAATATATTCCTTGCCTATATATCTCTTAGATTTTCGCATGAAACAATTGTTTGTAGATATTTAGAAAGAATTTCAAATTAGAGATTGACATTTGTTAAAACTCAGAGAATTGATCAAGAATGTGTTTATATTAAATAAAAAAGTTTCAAATTGATTTTTAAAACGCTTAATTAATTAGGCATCGTTAACCGCATTTTTATCTCTTATTAATCTTATATTATTCTGAACTATATAATTGTTTTATATCTATATACACATGTACATCTGCAAGACGTGTTTTTTAAAAACATCTTACAGTAATGCATAATGTATTATGTATTATGTATACGTTGTATACGCGCGTAAAATGCATTTATAAAGACACATTTATGACATACACACATTTATAAAGACTTGATAAATAATCAAGATTTAATGAATAATCACTTCTCACTTTAATATTTCATTGTGTAGCTTGATGCATGCATCGAGTTCGCACTCAGTTTTGACATTGCGGATTTTTTGGGCCAACAATTCTAATCTTGCCGCGGAATAGAATAAAAGAATCGCAATGCTGCAATCGATGCACATTCCGGCTGAGACTTGTAAGCCGACAAATGACTGATGTAAATAAATAATACTTTTTACCGGATGATGTGCCACGGAAAACGGATACTTTGCGTCAGTCGGAAACTGTTGCGGAAGAAACAATGGCCCGCAAATGACGCCAATGGCAGTCAGATAACACCATAAAATATAAGTACTGTATGTATACTTGTAATCGTCGACATAACGTTGCAAAATAATATTTGTTTTATCATCCGCCTGCTTGCAGAATGTTTCCATGTCATGATAAAGCATCTGAAAATATATGTATTATAAATAGTTTGTAAATATTATTATAAAATGTGATTTTTCAACGTGTTAGAATATTCTGAACACATTGGCATTGAAAACTGAAAAAAAATTTTTTTCACGAAAACAAAGTGTTCTCTATGAGGAAGTGAAAATTATTATTATAATTCTCATATTACAGTCTGGTTTGCAAGATTATTCTTACATTATGCATACATCACTATTTGTGTAATTATAAATAATTTGTATGTAAAAACTATATATTAATTCTTTTGAGCATGCAAATATATTAAATTTTATCTCTCACAATCAATAAAAGATTCATCAAATCTAATATATGTATAATACATACTTGAAAGGAAGTATACTGTATATGACACAACATCATTTTAATCGTCACTTGAACTACTGCACAAGAGAGACAAACCGACTTTGCTAAAATCACGGGATCATCACGATACTCATAAACTGAGCTTAACAGCGGAAGTAACAATAAGATACCGCAGAAGTAACACATATACCAGCAAGCTTTGAAAAGGATAACGTTAGATTTCGTTAATTTTGGTGACGGTGGCCAGGCGCACGTCAATACTACGCTGATCTTCATGAAGAGTATAGCTCTGACTGGCGTGATCTTCAATGTCATAGCGATGATGGTTGTTGTATATACGTTGCAAACACGTTATTAGCACGGAGAACACGTTGGCTATATGTGATAAATTCTCCTTGCACACTCGTATGCCAATGAATTCCCTTCGCTGTAACATTTTGCGTTTGCGCGTTGTAAGGGCAAAGAGGAGAGTTCAACGAGAATTATTCACAAGGTAAGTTACAGGTGGATCCACATAAATGATGATTGTACTAAAGGTTTCATAGCATCTTATGGCTATTCCTATATTTGAATTATACGTTAATTATATTAATTATATTTATCAACGTAAAGTAAAATTTTACATAGAAGTGTCTTAGATATTTTTATTATTAAGAAATTCAAATATGATTATACATTACATTAGACGACGATTTTGAGACGCACTGTAACTTCGTGTACGAAGCTCGTTATGAATACTAGCCTGTTAATGAATAAAGTATTGCCTTAGGCACTTGCATAATCATACCCTTGGTTAGCACTGTATCTATGTGTAAGAATAATAACAAGTTACAACAAAGCAGTAATAGGATGATGTAATGTTTGAACTACCGTGAAACTCTCACAGTTAATTTATTAAATATTATGTACGGCGTTAACTGCTATTTGATTGTTAGAAGTATGTGTAGGAAGTGCTATATACCTTTCTGTTAAAGCAAATAGATTTCCTCCGACTTTGCCGTAGTGATATTAGATGGTAAACAAGCAAACATCTATTTAGTGCGTACTAATGTGAATGAACATTAAAATTATGTTTTTTGACATAATACTGAAACATTATGGTTTGTATTAATTAATATAAGACATCAAAATTTTTTTTATAGGATATTAGTTATTATTTATTAACTTGAATATGAATAATTTTGAATAACTTAAGTACCGCAAGTTTCTTACTTTAGTTTATATAAACGAGATTTTAAGCTTTATTTTTTACAAACGTAACTAGATGCATATGTTTTTGTAAATCATTAAATAAGTTGAATTTAATCAATGCGAACGAAGATGTTAATAACTCTAAAAGTGCCAAATTCATGATTCTCGAAATGTATTTATTAATTTTTGACGTAGCTGATTCATGCAGTTTCTTCTGATGTTTAACTTTTTATATGTATTATTAATAATATTTACAGAATCATCAAAAAAAGTTTTGCTTATACTTGTGTATAGATGTCAACGGTGAATTTAATCTTTAATTAATTTTAATTTTACGCAGTAAAAAACAATGCTGTTAAATAAGTTGAATCATATTGCTAAATAATGTAACTACATATCCAAAAATCATAAAAAATTGAAAAAAAATTATATAAGAAGCTAATATTTACATATATTTTAAACATAATTATTTAGTAATAATTAATAACAGTAGCAAATAATTAATAATATTTTAAAATAATTAAATTATATATCTCATTTTTAAAACGAGATTTTAAGCTTTATTTTTTACAAACGTAACTAGATGCATATGTTTTTGTAAATCATTAAATAAGTTGAATTTAATCAACGGTGAATTTAATCTTTAATTAATTTTAATTTTACGCAGTAAAAAACAATGCTGTTAAATAAATATCTATCAAATAGTAAAGTATATACAAAAATATTGTACAATTACAATTATACATACTAAACATTTTGAATCTTTAAGAAACTTATTACTATAACTCACAGTGGAGTAGAATGTATCGGCAAACGCTAAACTTTACTTATCCATAACTTACAATGTATCGTAGGATTTCACTCACTTGTGCGTAAAAAGATATTTATTCTTAGAAGATAGATGCAATTGCAACAACATTCAAAGCAAAAGATAAAAATATTTTTTTATGCAAAAATATATAGTAAACATTTTTTAAACTTTTGATAACTAATTCACTGTTGCGATTAAAAGACATCGGCAAATGCTGAAATTTATTTATCAATTACTTACGTAGATACGATGTGTGTTGTTAGAAACTAGCACTATTTGTGAGTATAAAGATATTTATTTAAGGGATATAAAAATATATATCTCTTAGATTATAAGATCATTATAAAGAACAACATTTGAATATCTAATACTAAAAAAATTTCTATTTATTTCTTAATTTGTAATGCTAATTATTTTATTAGTACTTTATATTTGGTTTACCAAATTATATATAAAGAAAAATATAAACAGTATGTTATACAGGGTGACCGCGGCAATGACCGCCCACTAAGTATATAGCGTTATTTCTTACCAATAACTGAGACGAAAAGTCCTGAGCCATTTTTTTTTATAACGCTTAATAAAGGAGTTATTATTAGGTAAAGACTGGCTAATCAGCGCCGACTTTTAGCCGGGCGCATGTCGGTGAGCCGCGCGCCTGGTAGTATGCGGCACACACTTCACGACACGTGGCTCACCGACGTGCGCCCGGCTAAAAGTCACCGCTGATTGGCCAAACTTTACTCAATAATAAGTCCTTTATTAAGCGTTATAAAAAAAAAATGGCTCAGGACTTTTCGTCTCAGTTATTGGTAAGAAATAACGCTATATACTTAGTGGGCGGTCATTGCCGCGGTCACCCATCTTATATTTTTTCTTTTATGTTTATAAAATCATACATATATATGTATGTTGCTAAGAAAATTCGATTATATAAATCATGCTTATTATTTTTTTAGAAAACTTACGACTTCCTTCAAATCATCTGCTGTCCATGCTGTGATAAACATTCGTTGTAATGCGCCTATAGGCATAGATAAATATTGAGGAACCAGAGCAAAAGAACGTAGCTGTTCCCAAAATTAAAGTTTCTAAAGTTATAAATTCTAATACTTATGCATCTACTTACATTTACATTATATCACAAGATGCTTACATATAATATGGGAAAACCACCACTGATTACAGTAAATGCCATCGTGAAATTAGTTTTAAAAAGAATATATTGAAGAGTACACTGTGTTTTTGAAGTAAATCTGCACATATAAAGAAATGTGCAAATTAAAAAATAAAGTCAACATATTATATATTATAAAAGTTAACAAAACTTATAAGAAGTAGTAGTGAGAAAAGGGAAACACATATTATAGCATAAAAAATGTATATTTACTCAAATATTAATATTTGAATAAAAAGTAAAATTATAAATAGAATAATTTAAAAAAAATTGCTTTTTATAAACTTTTATTTTTAAAAATTCTAAGACAGACTAAAAAGACTGAAGACTGAAGACGAAGTACTGATTTAAAAAAATTGTAAATGGCTATTTTTACTCATACTATATTATGGATTGATATATTAATTAAATTTCTGCAATTAGAGCGAAAATTGGTATGCTATTTTGTCATAATGTTCTGAAAGATCTAAAAGATATTTTATTTCTATCTTACTTTATTATTTCCTGATGTTTTCTGATAGACGATACGACATGATTTTCATCCGTAGCTTGTTCTATTTCAAAAGCCAATATTTTCAGTCTAGCTGCTGAATACAAAAAGAAAACAGCCATCATGATGTCCACATTAAGACAGAAAACAATGTGCGCAGTTACAAGTATATGCGTAACATAGAGAATAAACTTTCGTAACAGTGTTTCCATTGAAAACGGATACCATACATTCAAAGGAAACTCCTGAGGCATAAATAAAGGAGTACAAATGACAGTACCACCTGCCATACAGAAGGTTATTGCAACAATCGTTATAAATGTAGCATAACGATCTATGTACTTTTGCACAATAACTCTTTCGCGATCTTGGAATATTCTGGATATCTCCGAGGCATTGAGCGACGCATCAAGGAAATATTGCAGAAAAAGAAATGGGAGTTGGAGGCGGAACGATGTAATCAATAGCGCATTTATTATTTGTTGGCTAGTGTGTTTGATCTCTCGTAGTAATTACTAGTACCTATATACTTCCATGATCATGGAAAATAAAGTAAAAATACGTACGATATATGGCACGCATAAACCTCTTGATAATTGCAATAAGTATCTATATCATTATTGATCCGTTCTTTGCTTCTACTACTCTGTAATTTTTATAATTTTATAATACCACGCATAGATAGCTATTTTATTTATTTCGTTTAGTTAGAAACTTGAAACACTATTTAAGTATAGAATCATAAATAAAAAATTTCTCCGTATATTAACTTATTTTTTATGTACCAGCAATATTGAAAAATGTTGTAGGAAAAATGTTGAAGGAAAAAAGTTTAATGTTCTTATATTTCTCGCAGAACGTAGTGCTTCGATAATTTTTTTATTCATCAATTACTTTCATTGTTATAAAATAAGAAAAATTATTTTAATTTAATTATATATCTATTTTAAATCTATTTTATAAAAAATAATTTTATATTACTAATGAACGCGAATTAAGAGATGATATTTTTTAGGATATTAAATAGGATTTGAGAGAACTGGAGAATGCTTGATTTTTTATATGTATTTTTAATAATATTCAGATATATTTAAAAAAGTTTCCTTTTTGCTTGTATATAGATTTTAATTGTAAAATTAATCTTTAATTAATAATTTTAATTTTACTTGATAAAATAAGATAAGTAAGTGTTAAATTAATGTTTTATCTATGTAAGATAAATATTGATTTTTATTTTCTAAAGGGGAAGATCCGTATACCTACTCGTGGCATTCCCGATTGCCAACAGCTTCGTTTATCTACAACAGTTTGCCGACAGCTTTGTTTGCCGACATTCCCGATTGCCTACAGAGCGAGTGCCTACAAACATTATTGCGGACAATATAATAATTAAAAATACGAACGTATGTTTGTATACATGATCTTATTATTTACAAACACATTGCACACATGACTTTATTGCACACATACGTATTGTACATATAATTTCGCGCATTCGAAGCACCGGGTTATGTAGGATGGACCTCGCTTCGCGTAGAAAGTTGCAAATCGCATATATTACATGTGCGCAATAATGCTTGTAGGCAATCGCTCTGTATGCAATTGGGAGTATCGGCAAACGAAGCTGTCGGCAAAATATTGTGGACAAATGAAGCCGTTGGCAACCGGGAATATAGGTAAATAGAACCTTTTTCTTCTATATATGTGATCAAATTCGCAATTCAATATGTAAAAATATTATATACTAAATATTTTAAATAAAAACATTGATAACTAATTCATTGTGGATATATATTAAGATATATCGGCAAACGCTAAACTTTACTTATCGATTACTTATATAAATACGATGTGTATTGTCGGAAACTGACATTATATATATTTGTGCGTAAAGATGTTCATTGAAAGAGTAAAAAGATAAAAATTGTGCAAATTAAAAACTTGCACATTGCTTCCTCATCATTTTTCTTGCTCACAAAACTTAAGCGCCTTAAAGCAAGCGGGTTTTTCAATTTTGGCTTCCTCATAGAGGAAGATATCTCAAAATTTGCGAAAGTTACAGTATGTACAGACATTTCCCAAAAAATTTAAAATTTTATAAAAAGTGATTTCTTCCACCGATTCTCACTAAATTCAATATCAACCATCCTTTAATGATACTCTATTTATGTAAAAATATTTAACCCGATATCTAAAAATGTGTAAAAGTTAGAGCGTGTATAAATATTTCTCAAAAAATTCAAAGTTTTATAAAAAATGGACATTTTCACCGATTCTCACCAAATACAATATCAATCCTTTAATGATACTCCATTCATTTTAAAAATATTAGCCCGATATCTCAAAAATTGCAGAAGTTTGAGATTGTACAATACATTTCGTACATACATATATGCCGATTTTTCGGCATATGGTCGATTTTTCTAAGTCAAACGTGGAGCAATAAATTTGATATTACATATCTTGAGAGCAACAAATTAGAGAAACATTTTAAGACCAAAATAATAACAGCAACTAATTGCGTTCATGTACTTTACTCTTGTACGAATGTTAGCACCGCCACTCGTTCGGGTCGATTTTTTTAATTAAACTGCAAGCCATAAATTCGGAAATGGTTTGTTTTAAG